ACCACAAAATCTCAGCAAGTGTGCTGATGGAGCAATACCACGAAAACATTCCCACAGTAACTCAGCTGCTGTGTTGACAGAAAAACACTGCTCTCTCAAACCTGGAGAAACTCAGCTGGTGTGCTGGTTGAGAAACACTGAGATGACACTTCTGCAATAACTCAACTGGTGTGCTGAAGAAGAAACATAGCGTTCACACTCCTGCAGGAACTCAGCCATGGTGCTGATCAGGAAACACAGCGATTACCGTCCTGCAGGAACTCCGCGGTGGTGCTGATCGAGAAACACGGCGATCACATAGCTGCAATAGCTCAGCTGGGGTGCTGATACAGAAATACTGCTCTCACACTCCTGGAGAAACTCAGATGTTATGCTGACGCAGAAACACTGGGCTCACACTCCTGCAGGAACTCCGCTAGGGTGCTGATTGGGAAACACAGCGATCACACTCCCGCCATACTCAGCTCTTGTGCTGAGGCAGAAACACAGCGAAAACACTCTGGAAGCAATGCAGGTGCAGTGCTTGTTTGAAACACAGCGATCACACTCCTGCAGGAACTCAGGTGGTGTTGTGATTGAGAAACATGTGATCACACTCCAGCAGAAACTCGGCTAGTGTGCTGCTGGGGAAACACGGCGATCACATTCTGCAGACACTCAGCTAGTGTCCTGATTGGAAAGACAGCCATCACAATCTTGCAGAAACTCATCAAGTGTGCTGATGGAGAAACACAGCGATCACACTCCTTCCGGAACTCAGCTATGGTACTGATCGAGAAATACAGCGATCATACTCCTTCAGGAAGTCAGCTATGGTGGTGAACAAGAAACACAGCGATCACACTCCTGCAGGAACTGAGCTATGGTGATGATCGGGAAATACAGCGACTACAGTCCTGCAGTAACTCAGCTGGTGTGCTGATAAAGAAACACTGCTCCCACACTCCTGCAGAAACTCAGATGTTCTGCTGATGCGGAAACACTGGGATCACACTCCTGCAAGAACTCTGCTTGGTTGCTGATGGAAAACCACAGCGAACACACTCTCCCAGAAAATGAGGTGGTGTGCTAATGGAGAAACACAGCGCTCACACTCCAAAAGGACTCAGCTCTTAGTCGAAGAAACACAGCCAACACACTCCTGCAGGAACACAGCTATGGTGCTGATTAGGAAACACAGCCATCATTCTCTTGCAGGAACTCAGGTGGTGTTGAGACTGAGAAACATGCGATCACACTCCTGATGGAACTCAGCTAGCGTGCTGATTGAGAAACACAGCAATCGCATCCCTGCAAGAATTCATCTATGGTCGTGATCGGAATACATAGCGATCAAACCCTTGCAGGAACTCACATGGTGTTGTGACAAACTTGCCATCACACTCCAGCAGGAACGCAGCTGGTGTGCTGATGGGGAAACACGGCGATCACATTCTGCAGAAACTCAGGTAGAATGGTGGTTGGAAACATAGCCATCACAATTTTGAAGAAACTCAGGAAGTTTGCTGATGGAGAAACATAGCGATCACACTCCTGCAGGAACTCAGCCATGGTGATGATTGGGAAACACAGCGATTATAGTCCTGCAGTAACACAGCTGGTGTCCTGATAAAGAAATACTGCTATCACACTCCTGCAGAAAGTGAGATGTTCTGCTGATGTAGAAACACTTGGATCACACTCCTGCAGGAACTCTGCTTGGTTGCTGATGGAAAACCACAGCGATCACACTCTCCCAGAAAATGAGGTGGTGTGCTAATGGACAAACTCAGGGTCACACTCCAACAGGACTCAGGTCTTATGTTGATGAAGAAACACAGCCAACACACTCCTGCAGGAACACAGCTATGGTGCTGATTAGGAAACACAGCCATCATTCTGCAGGAACTCAGCTGGTGTTGTGATTGAGATACATGTGATCACACTCCTGATGAAACTCAGGTAGTTTGCTGATAAAGAAACACAGCAATCACACTCCTGCAGGAATTCACCTAGTGTGGTGATGGAGAAACACATCAACCACACTTGTGCAGGAATTTACCTGGTGTGTTCATAGGGAAGTACAACGATCACCCTCCGGCAGGAACTCAGCGGGTGTATTGATTGAGGAACAAGTGATCACACTCCTGCAGAAACTTATCTAGTGTGTTGATGAGAAAACACAACGATCACACCACAAAAACTCATTTAGTGTGCTCATGGAGAAACACCAGGAAAAAGTTCCCGCAGAAACTCAGCTGGTGTGCTGATAGAGAAACACTGCTGTCACACTCCTGTAGAAACTCAGCTGGTGTGCTGATAGAGAAACACTGCTGTCACACTCCTGTAGAAACTCAGCTGGTGTGCTGATCAGAAACATAGAGATCACACTCCTGCAGGAAATCAGGTATGGTGCTGATCGGGAAACACAGCAATCACACCCCTGCAGGACTGAGCTCTTGTTGTAATAGTGAAACACATTGATCACACTCCTGCAATACCTCAGCTAATATGCTGCTCAGAAACACAGCAATCACACTCCTGCATGAACTCAGCTAGTGTGCTGATAGAGAAACACAGCAATCACACTCCTGCAGGAACTCAGCTATGGTGATGATCAGGAAAGAGCAATCACTCTCCCGCAGGGCTCAGTTCCTGTGTTGTTGGAGAAACACAGTGAAAACTCTCCTGAAGAAATAAAGGTATTGTGCTCGTTTGAAACACAGCGATCACAGTTCTGACAGAAATCAGCTATTGTGCTGACAGAGAAACAGCAATCACACTCCAGCTGGAATTGAGCTGGTGTGCTGATGGGGAAACACAGCAATCACACTCCTGTAGAAAGTCAGCTTGTGTGGTGATGGAGAAACACTGAGATGACACTCCTCCAAAAACTCAGCTGTTGTGCTGATGTAGAAACACAGCAATCACACTCCACAGTAACTCAACTTGTGTGCTGATGAGAAATACAGTGATCACACTTTCGCAGGACTCAGCTCTTGTTCTGATGGTGAGACACAGCAATCACACTCCTGTAGGAACTCAGCTAGTGCACTGATTGAGAAACACAGTGATCACACTCCTCCAGGAACTCACCTAGCTTGGTGATGGAGAAACAAAGCAATCATACTCCCACAGGAACTCAGCTAATGTGCTTATTGAAAACACAGCAATCTCACTCCTGCAGTAACTCAGCTATGGTGCTGATAGGGAAACACAGCGATCACACTGCTGCAGGAACTTACCTGGTGTGCTAATGGAAAAACACAGCAAACACACTGTAGCTGGAACTCAGGTAAGTGCTGATTGGTAAACACCGCAATCACACTCCTGAAAAAATTTAGCTAGTGTGCTGATGGGAATATACAATGATCACACTACCACAATAACTCAGCCAGCGTGCTAATGGAGAGACACATGAATCACATTCCTGCAAGAGCTCTCCTATGGTGCTGATCGGGAAACACAGTGATCACTTTCCCGCAGAAACTCAGCCAGTGTGCTGATGAAGAAACACTGAGATCACATTCCTGCAAAAACTCAGCTGGGGTGCTGATAGAGAAACACAGCAATCACACTCCCGCAGGACTCAGGTCTTGAGCTGATGAAAAAACACAGCAATCACACTCCTGCCGGAACTTAGTTAATAGGCTGTTCGGGAAACACAGTGATCTCACTCCTGCAGGAAATCAGCTAATTTGCAGATGTAGAAACACAGTGATCACACTCCTGAATGAACTCAGCTAGTGTGCTGATGGAGAAACACAGCGATCACACTAGTGCAGGAGCTCAGCTGGTATGCTGATGGAGAAACACCGTGATAATACTCCCACAGTACCGATGTCAGAGTAAACATTTTCTTATAGGCTTGTGTACCATAGCTGGTACCTAACGCAGTTTTCTATATCAGGTAGTTATTTAAAATGAATGGTGTATCTCCTTATGTGCCAAAGAAAATTATTCATATATCTGGTTGTAAACGTTCAAGGAATATTTTGTTTGTATGTGTGTGTGTGTGTGTGTGTGTGTGTGTGAGTGTGTGTATTCCTCATCAGTGAGTGGGCCTCTGACTTTAAACTTTTTAAATCAGTTCTTGTTAACAGTTAAAAAGTGTCGCTCTAGCCCTGGCCAGTTTGGCTCATCGGTTAGAGTGTCGGTCTGTAGTCTGAAGAGACCTGGGTTCAGTTCCTGCTAAGGGTACGTACCTTGGTTGCAGTTTGTTCCTGGCTTTGTTTGATCATGCGGGTGGCAACCACTTGATGTGTCCCTTTCACGTCAATGTTTCTCTCACTTGCTCTCTGTGCCTCCCACTCTATCTGAACAAAAAATGGAAAAATGTCCTTGGACGAGGTTAAAAAAAAAAGTGTCACTCTAACGCCTTGCATGCACCCTGCTCATGGGGGTGGTGTATGACCTATGAGGTGTCTTCATTTGCTTTGCTGTCTCCTCTCACTGCTCCCCCCGAAGAGTGCCCCGATTGCCCCCCAGAGCCATGCTGGGACATTGCCTAAGCTCTTAGTGTCATTTCACTGGAGCAGAACTTGAGTGGAATCCACTCTGTCCAGGCCCTTGAATCTACCGGAAGGAAATCTCACAATGAAATAACCCCGTTTCCATGACTGAGTCTCAATCTCGTGCACTAAAGTTTCACAGGATCCTTTTATTCCTGGGAGATTCACAGTCTAAAGGTCAAGTTTAACTTATGATCCTTGTTACTCTAAGTGTTTCACTGGTGAGCGGCTATGGCTGACTGCTAACCCATAACCCCCTCCAGTGGTAAACTAGTTAGCCGGGACCTGCCCTGCAAACAGGACGGAGCTCCCTCCCGAGGATCCGCTCCAGGACACGACCTCTCCTGTTCTGTCCTCTGCTCACTGTCTTTCTGAAAACACCCTGCAACGGTGTTTCCCTGCCACTGGCCAGCTGTGACTCAGTTTCAGAAACTGTGGCTTCAGAAAACCCTTCCACTAAAACGAACAGTCAAGAAGATTCAATAAATGTGCGTTCAGATGAAAACTCACATGTTCCCTTCACCATTGTACACCCACTTGGTGGTCCCGATGCCTTCCTGGTCAGAAGCCCAGTAGTAGAGACAGGCGTTCAGGTGCAGGGCGAACAGCAGGTAGCCTGTGGTCCGCAGGACCCTGTGAGGAGAGGGTGCTCGGCGACCTTCCCTTCCCGTGGCCTCTCCACAGCTCTCCTCATGACAGACCTGGGAGCCCTAACCCCCATGAGGACAGCAGGACCAGATGGAGCCATGGCAGTTTTCTGACTGCAGCGTCCCAACTGGGACTGGCAGTGGGAAAAACCCTCCTCCCTTGTCGCAGATGCTAAAAATCACCTCCCCAGAAAATGTGCCCAGGGCCACCCGTGTGCTTGAGTCCCATAAAATACGCTGCACGGACTGAGCTGGGTGCCCGGGGACAGCTCTCGGGCTGTGTGCTGTGATGACCTGTGATGGGCGGTCTCTGCCTGGGGTTCAGGAAAACTCATGGATGGAATTCGGCTGAGGCTGGATTGTCACGAGAGAGACAGAGAGTCAGCCCATGACCGAGCACGTCTATCTACCTGTTCTGACCAGAGGAGGTGATTCTGCCTATTTTTTAGTCCTGTATTCTTCCAGAACCTAGTATGATTTCACACTTTCATCTCACTTCAAAACATATTCCAGTCTGTTTTAGAACATAACCTTACACTTTATACAACTAAAAATCTGAGATGATCCCTTCCCTTGGGCAGGGAGGTCACGCTCTTCCACCTGAAACACATACCCATTTCCTGTCCCGCCCAGGGTACATGGGGCGCCAGCGTACCTGTACGTATATGCCTTGTCCATGAGTGACTCCAGGCGATGGTTGAACTCAAAGAATGATGTGTACTATGTAGAAAACAGTAGAAGAAATCCCAAAGTATGTTAGTCTTAGAGATATCCAGTTAAATGAAATACGATAGATTTTATTTGTTTCTTAAAATAATTCCATTTACATGTCTTTAAAAAAAATAAGGTCATCCATGTCCATGAGTTCTCTCTCTTTTTTGCTCAACCGCATCACCCCGCTCCCTCTGAGCTGTCAGCCTGCTCTCTGTCTACGAGTCTGTCTCTGTTTTGCTTGGTAGTTCAGTGTGTTCATGAAATTCCACATATGAGTGGCATCGTGTGTGCTTGTCTTTCTCTGACTGCTTATTTCACTGTGGGGAAGGGCAGGAGAGCATAGAGAGGATAAATGGTGATGGGGGAAAAAAAACAAAATAGAAAGAAAAAAGGAAAAACTAGGGTGGGCTGAGTGTTCCCTCCCCTAGGCAGTACTTTCTAGCGTGACCCCAGCTGCGGAGCTCCTGGCTTTGTGTCACCTTTGCCCTCTGGTCAGGCTTGTCAGAACGATTCATGAGGATCAAGCTTAAAAGCACTTTTTTCCTTTTTTTTTTTTTAACTTTGATATTTTAAAAAACTATCTTTAGTGTTGGAAGTAGTACAGATGTCCTCTCTTTCCCCTCCCCCATTGATCTTCTCCTCCCCACTTCCCCTCCCTGCCTTCCCTACACAATAGTCTGTGTCCATTGGCTATGCATATATGCATAGAAGTTTTTGGGTTTATCTCTTCCTGCACCCCATCCCCCTTCCCTGAGGTTCCTCAGTCTAACAAACCATTTTTTTAAATCCGCACCTGAGGATATTTTTCTATTTATCATCAGAGAGAGTGAGAGGAAGGGAGAAAGAGGAAGAGAGAAAAATAATGTGAGAGAAACACACTGACTGGTTGCTTCCTGCATGACTCAACCAGGGCCGGGGACAAATCACAACCGAGGTATATGCCCTTGACTGGAACTCATTGGTCCATGGACAGGCACTTTAACTGCTAAACCAAACTGGCCAGAGCCTAACAACCAATTTGTACTTCTTAATCCATTCACCTTAATCCATTCACTTCTTAATCCATTCACCAAACCCTGTCCCATCTGGCAAGTGAAAAAAGTTCTCTGTATCAATGAGTCTGATTCTGTTCTGCTTGCTCATTTTGTTTGTAGATTCAATTGTTGATAAACATGCATTTATTGTCATTTTATTGTTCATATTTTTTTTAATCTTCTCCTTCAAGAAGACTCTTTAACATTTCCTATAATACTGGTTTGGTGGTGATGAACTCCTTTAGCTTTTTCTAGTCTGGGAAACTATATGTCCATCCATTCTAAATGAGAGCTTTGCAGGTTAGAGCAATCTTATATGTGAAATGACTGGACTATGGGGCTACAAAAGAAAGACCAAGGCTCACTTCTCAGAAGGACCTGTGTTGAGAAAGACTTCTAGATATAGATGGGTTTGGACCCCCAGGGACAGATGGTGGGGCATGAAGCATTGGCATTTTATGAGCTTTTCTTACAATGCCAGGAAAACTCCAAATGCAGGGGAACCAAAGTCTGCTTGAAAGGTGTTATCTCTGAGCAGGAGCTTCCTGATACTTTCATGTGAGAAAAGAAATTTGATGGCTTGCCCATCAGGTGCTTAAAATGTTACGTCTGCCCTACAATCATGGTCAAACCAGAAGTCAGCATCCAGAGTTGTCCTTAATGTTTGAGAATATTTTCCCTCTCAGCTGGAGAATTTATGGACATAGTAGGAAAGCCCTGTCTCCAGTCCGATCACAGTGCAGTCTGGAGTCAGAAAATGTGGTGGAATCCAGGTCCTGCTGCTCACCAGCAGCATGTCTGGGCAGATTTTTTCACCCTGCTAGTTCTCCTTTTCCATGTCCCTAAAATGACATCATTTGGAAGAACCAGGGAGGCAATGCATATAAAGATTAACGAAGCATAGTCCAAACACCAATTTCACAAATGCAGCTGCTGCTGTGGCCGCTGTCCTGCTATCATCGGAATCTGCCATCTGCCTCCCAAAGATGCAAGAGGGCTGCCGGCATGTACTGCACCTGTGGCCTGTCTTTTAAGAGGCTGTCCTTGAAAATACAAGCTACCATTGCTATTGCTAAAGTTTTATACAAAATTTCACAACCTGACACTCTTCAGATTTGTTTTAGTTACCTGATGAAGCTATCACTTAAAAAATATTTATGTCTTAGAATCTTCTGGAACAGGTAATACACTCATATAGTTCAAATAGTAACAAGTATATTTCTTCAGGACTCTGGCCTCTGTCCATCCTGAGTCTCCCTCTCACCTCCCTCCCAGCTTTAGTTAACCACTTTCATCAGATTTCTGTGGCCCTCCACTGCTTATGTAAATACAGAGAACTGGGGATTCCAAAACGGCGGCAGAGTAAATGGAAGCTATACAGACCATCTCCCAAGACCAAACAGAAATTACAACTAAGTTAAGGATAAATCATTGGGAAAAACCAACAGAAAAGCAGCTGGAGAGGACCCACATAACCACAAGCCTGGTAGGAACTGTAGAAGCATGAGAGGGCAGGCTGGAAGCCCATGCACAGCAGCTGTTTTAGCTGTGATCAGCTCCCTTGTGGTTAAAATCCCAAGCAAGCTCAACAGCACAGAGGGCCAGGACAGAACACTAAATTAACTACAGCCACTCACCTTGAGCTCTGGCAGAAAGAGGGTAGAATGGACTGACACTATGTGGAGAGACTCAGGATTTGGAGGGCTGGGAGGGCACTGGGAGTTCTGTGCTGAATCACTCCCTTACAGGACAACAGCTATATTATGCAAAGAGCCCCTTCCCAGAGCCCCAGAGAAAAGCAAAAGCCCCTCCCTCAAAAATTTAATGCCATGCAGCCAGGCCAGAGAAATGCAAATTGAGGTTCATTAACAGCCAGCAAGCATCTGCCTCACCTGCTGGAAATCCTTTTACCCTGAACACCTGAGGAAGTTTTTCATCCAGTTGAGGGCTATAACCAAAGGCTCATAAAATAACTGAGACTAATAGCCTCCAGGCAACAAGCTAGAAAATAAATGAACCTTTCTTGGGCTTGCAAATCTACCCAGGAAGTAAGACTTGACAGTGGCATTTAATGTGGGTCTCTTACACTCATCCCAACCCAGTAGAGGGCTCCACAACCAGGATAACACCAACACCCACAGGGAAAATTTGGCAGGCTCCAAATCCAAATCCACTGAGATAGCCAAATGGTGAAACAAAGAAATAAATCTCAAATGAAAGAACAAGATAATTCAACAGAAGATGAAATAAATGAAAGGGAATTGAGCAAGATAGCAGAGGAATAGTTCAGAGTAATCGTCATGAAGAAGCTCAAAAGCATGAGTAAAGATATAGAATCATTGAAAACCAACCAATTGGAAATGAAGAATGACATAGCAGAAATAAAGAACACATTGGAAGGAATAACCAGCAGAGTAGAGGAGGCAGAGGATCGGATAACATCTGCATCATAGGAGTTCTAGAAGAAGAAGAAAATGAGCATGGGTTAGAGAATATATTTGAAGAAATAGTGACAAAAAACTTCCCTAACTTGGTGAAGGAGAAAGGCATACAAGTTCAAGAAGCACAGAGAGCCCCAAGTAAGAAGAACCCAAACAGGCCCACACCATAACAATTAAAATGCCAAAAATTAAAGACAAAGAGAGAAGCCTAAATGCAGCAAGAAATAGGCAACAGGTTACCTACAAAGGAACCCCCATAAGGCTATAAGCTGATTTCTCAATAGAAACACTACATTCCAGAAGGAAATGGCATAATATAATCAAGATAATGAAAACAAGGATCTGAATCCAAGACTACTCTATCCAGCAACGCTATCATTCAAAATCGAAGGTGAAATAAAAAGCTTCCTAGACAAAAAACAAACAAAAAAACACTAAAGGAATATATTAGCACCAAGCCAGCCCTGCAAGAAATGTTAAAAGGACTACTATAATTAGAAGATATAGAAAGAAAAATATAACCACAATAAACAAAAATGAAAATAAATAAGTACATATCAATAATAACCTTAAATGTAAATGGATTGAATGCTCTAATCAAAAGACACAGACTAGCTGATTGGATAAGAAAGCATGACTCATATATATGTTGTTTACAAGAGACCCACCTCACACCAAAGACTCAAATAGGTTGAAAGTGAAGAAATGGAAAAAATCTTTCAAGCAAATAGAAAATAAAAAAATAGCTGGTATAGCAATACTCGTATTGGAAAAGATAGACTTCAAAATGAGGGCCTTGGGGGGAAAAAAGGCGGCGGAGTAAATGGAGCTACATAGACCATCTCCCAGGACCAAACTAGATTTACAACGAAAATAAAGACAAATCATCAGGAAGGAGCAACCGAAAGGCAGCCTGGAGGACCACATAACCAGGGACACTGACTCAATCCTGGTAGGCTTGCTAGGACGCGAGAGGGGACTGGGAGCCCATGGTCCACAGCAGCTTGGGCTGGGACCAGCGAACTCAGTTGGGACCAGGGGACTCAGGTGGAAGCTGCTGCCACCTCGGCTGCGTGCTAAGCCCTCGGCTGGTGCCGCACAGAATCGGCTAGGACCAGAGGATTTGGCGGGAAGCTGCTGCCGCCTCAGCTGCGACCACGGCTAAGTCCTGTGAACTCGGCTGAGCGATACACCCTTGGCTAGTGCCGCAGACTCGGCCGCTCTTAGCTGGGAGCAGCACCATTGGGTTAAAAGTCCCAGACGGCTCCATGACGCAGAGTCTGGACAAGCTAAATTGGCAGCAGCCACTCACCTTGGGCTCCGGCAGAGGGAAGGCAGACGGGACTGGAACTGTGTGGGGACACTTGGGATTTTGAGGGTGCTCAGAGCTTTTGCTGAGTGCAGCCACGCAGTACTAGGGTCATATTACTCCTTCCCAGGGCCCTGGGGAGAGGCAGCGGCCCATCCCTCGAAGATTCAACCCCACCTGGCGGTCATTGAAATGCTAATTGAGGCCCATTAACAACCAGCA